TTTAAAACCTTTGAAGACACTGTTAAGAGAATGAAAAGACAGCCACAGAATGGGAGAAAATACTCCAAATCACATATCTGACAAAAGACCAGTAGATACAAGAAAATGCAATGTTAAGAAAACAAACAGTCCAATTTGAGAAATAAGCCAAAGACTTCAACATGCACTTCACCATAAAGGATATATGGATGAAAAAGTAACACTGAAAAGATGTTCGACATCATTAGTCATTAGGGAAATGAAAATTAAAACATGATAAGAAGCCACTCCACACATATTTAGAGTAGGCCATAATAAGTTAATTGACAAAGATGGTATCGAGTACTGACAAGGAAGAGAAACAACTGGAATACTCATCTATTTCCTGGTAGGAGTACAAAATGGTCCAGCCACTCTGGAAAACCGACTCTATAACATTAGATCTACACTTACCCAGCAGTCCCTCTCCTGAGGATTTGTTCTAGTGAATTAAAAATGTATGTTCACAAAAAAACCTTCATGTGAATGTTTACAGCAGCTCTAGTTGTAATCACCAGAGTTGAAAACAACCCAGCGTCCCTCAGTGGGTGAATGGATAAACAATTTTGTGACACATCCACGTCACAGGAGATACTACTCAGCAGTGAAAAGGAATCAGGCTGTTGGTACATCTGCAACATGGATGGATCTCAAAGGCGTTATGCTGAGTGAAAGAAGCAGTCTCAAAAGATTTCAGATGGTATGATTCAATTTATATGACATTTGGAAAAGAGAACACAATAGCAAGAACAGATCAGTGGTTGCCATGTGTTAAAACTCATAGAGCTGTACATCAAAACAGGAAATTTTACTGTAAGTTAACTTAAAAAATAAAAATAGTAATATAAACCTATTATATAAGTGCCACATTTTTATGAAAATTAACCATATTTTGAAAAACAAAGAATTAGTAAAAACAGTGGCACTGTTTTACATTTTTATAAGCTCTTTAGTGTCTAGCTTGAGAGAGGCAGCTGGATTCTCGTATCTGCTTCTGCATTTACTCTCCTGCCTTGCCATATGTCATATAGTCTCTGGAAAACCCCACTCTACACTTGAAAGAAAATAAGACTGAAAGAAGCAAATAATGTCTTAGTATTATTATGATCTTTGTTTTGCTTGTACGGACCACCTGAAATAGTCTTGGGGATTCCCCAGGGTTCCTGGACTACGCTTTGAGAACCACTGACATAATACACTGTCCCAAATTTCAGTCATTTTCATCGCATCTTCTCTTTTATTTTATTTTATTTTTTTGCCATACTCACATGTCCTGTGTTTACTTAATGGTTTTGTTGAAATCAACCTATTTTTTTTTAACTTACATTTATTTAAAGAGGAAACTTTCTAAATCTCCTATAAATGGAAAACCAGTACCACTTTCCCATAAATGGAAAGTAACCACAAAAATAAATAAGCAATGAGTAACTTATAAAAAAAAAAAAAAAGTTTACCCCTGAACCATCTAAACTCATCTCTGCATGGCACACTTTGGAAAACACCAGTGCAGAGGACTTATGACAATGAAAATGTGGCTGACTCCAACATCCCACTGCATTTATGTAAGCCCATTTAAATCCTCGCAATTACCTTAAGAGGTAGAGTATTATTGTCCTTTTTTTTTCAGTACATTAAAAAAAAACAACAACAACATAGAAGCACAAGGAGGTTAAATAAGTTTCCTGGTGTTCCCAGTGAATAAATTGCAGGCCTAGGAGCGGACCCAGGCAGAGACTCTGGAGTCCAGGATGAATGCTATGTTGGCAGATAGGGGACCTGAAGTCTTGTCCAAGTTCTATGGGAAGTTGGTAGGAGGCTATGTCACTGAACCTCACCATCTTTGTCAATAAAATGAAAGAGGTGGACTACATCAGGGTGCGCAAGTTTAACTGCTGGCCAGCTGCCCAGGGGCCAGGCAGGTAAGGGAAAAGTGGACTGGCTGTAAGACAGTAGAGAGTGATGGGGTCACCAGTAAACTAGAGATCTCACATCTTCTCTAAAGAAAGCACCCACTTTCAGCTGTTTGTTGTTTTTGTTTTGGCAGCTCTTTTTCATTTTATTTATTTATTTTTTTACCGTTTTGTTTTTATTTTATTTTATGGAAAGATGGAAGTCCAGAGACCTAATGGGAAGTTGCCCACTTTTTTGAACACGTGGGGAGGCCAACAATACACAAACAGGCTCATTTGTGACTTCACGCCTAGATACTCTCCTCTCTGACAGAGAGGATTCCATGATGGAATAAGCTGTTTTTATACAGTGGTACACGCAAAATCCAAATGACAGAAACAAGCCACTTCAAACAATGGCGACAGGGGATCTGGACTTCGGTAGCGTCTCGACGCAGCCTCCATAAATATTGATTGGGAGCTGGGTTAATTGAAAAGCCAAGGTACATTATGAGAATAACAAAGTGTATTCCTTTGTGTTCCTTTTGTGTTGTATTAGGGTAAATCAGCAATATTTATCCAGTGCTAATTCTTGGTTTGCAGAGAGCTAATGTAATCATGAGATGAGCTTATTGAAATTCTTTTCTTAGACATAGAGGCTTGCCCGAGAACGGCGAGTATTAGGAACTTTAGTCAATGCTTGCCCAGAATAGTAAATACGAACATGTGATTTATGCCATTGTGTGTACAAAGCAATGTTTCCTGAGACATTTTCTATATATATGTTAGCTGTTTTGTTTTTTTGGGTTGGTTTGTTGCTTCCCCCTCCTCCGCTTATCAGATTTCCTTCTAAATCCTGGCATTTGACAATGTTGCAGGGCCAGTTTCTCTGTGAATCCACAGTAAAACATACTGGTGGTTGCACAATTAATCCAAACTTGGGTTTATGGCTTATGCGTGTTTATGTGAATTCCTGCATTTGTTTTTATATATGTGTGTATATTCATGAAGTCTGTTCCTGAGAAAGAGAAAAGGAGGAAGGACAAAATCTATAGACTGAATCTTGAAAGATAGGTTTATTCATCAGTGACATCATAAGGATTGTATTTTCTCTTGGTTAATAAACTATTTGTTTGGCGGGCGCTGTAAGCCAGCCAGAGCTAGTCATGCCATTTCTTGGAAAAGATCTGAAGCAACTGGTAATTGAAATGATAATCATTTGATCATAGTTAGAGCTATTTGAAAATAACACTCATCTCCAAACTGGCCTCTTCTGAGGAACCATATTTGGTAACATTGTTGCCAAATTCCATCTTTGCTAATATTGAGACTTATATACATGATAATTATTTTCCAGTATATTCTAAACTTGACTTCTCGTGTGCCCTGTCCAGAAGCTGTTCCCATATGCTTTGAAACCATACCCAGCCTGAATTTTCATTCTGACATTTAATAATCACCATGTAATAGCTATAAAATGCGTGACAACGACAGATCTTTTATTTCAAGAGGATGGTGTAGTGAATCTGAGTGAAATCATCCGTTGAAATGGTACTTTGTAATGTGCTCCATTGTTTATAAAGTACTGATTTTTTTTTTTTCTTGAGCAGAGGATAAAAACAGTTTCCACTTTGGGTCCCATTCAGTGGAAGTCCATATTTAATCATGATAAGAGAAAGGACTCCATTACGAAAGTTTTACTTTTCATTTTTGATAGAGTATTTATTTTGCTGCTGCCTGACAAACTTTGTTCTCAGAAGCAGCTTGGAACTGGATGAGGAAAAGTGAAATTTTAGATCCTACCTTAAAACATTTTTAAAAACTAAATCCAGGGTTTCTTATTGTGTGAAGCTTATCTTAATAAACCCTTTTTTGTTTGCTTTGGAGTTGCATATGCAGTACGTGTGTGTGTGTGTGTGTGTGTGTGTGTGTGTGTGTAGGTGGGGGAGGAGAAGGAGGAAAGAGTCATGTTTAACAGCAAAATTAGCCAAAATCACTTGTGAATTCCTTTTGTTTAATAGCTTAGAGACATCTTCCTGTTGTTGTTTGTCAAAAATATTTCTAAGATTTTGTAAGCTTAGGGGTTTTCACAGCTAAGCTTTCTTCAGAAATGTGAAGTAAAAGAAATGAAAGAAGTCAGTTCAAGTTGAAATGTCAAATGCTTCAAATAATTTAACTTAAAACCCAGTGAGATGATCTTCTTAAGCCTTTTCCAAAGAATCTTCAGTAAGAGAGGCCCTCCTTCACTCCATGGATGGATATCTATTAAATATCTTGCTGGATTAATTCTGAATCAGAGAAGTTGGTTGTTTCCTGGAAGCAATTAGAGATGCTTAAAATTCAAATTTATGATCCATACGAGAAACTTAAGTTTCAACTACTTTTCTTAGATTCAAAGGCTTTCTCTTTGCTCACCCTCTCTCCTCTTACCCATATGTATTAAAAGAAAAAAATCAGTTCATTTCTCAGCTTACAAAGTTTTTAAGAAACATGAGAATGTGTAAGTTTCTTTCAGTGGGAAGCACATAACATTTATGAAGTATTTCTTTTGGGATTACATCACAGTTTTATTTAATTTTTAGGACAAAAGTTAAATTCAATATTTGTGTATAAGCCAAGGGAAAATGTACCATAAACATAGGAATTTGGGGGTGAGTCAGAGTTCCAAGAATCCCAGATTACTTAGACCATTTATATAGAGACAGGCTAACCATTAGTCACCTAGTTCTCACTTTTTACTTTTGCAATTAACTGCACCTAAAAATTAGCTTTCACCGGAGTGAGTGGTCAGACAGGCAGAGTGGGCCTTGGCAACTGGCATTAAAAATGGCTATCAGAATCACTACCCAAATTGGGGAACACTTTCTAATCATATTACAAGTAGATCTTCTAAATTATTTTTCAACTAGGCAGCTAGCAGTGAAAAACCACTGAAGTGAATTATTGAAGATTCTCTTGTCACCAAAAAGCACATTGTCTTCATGCATAAGGTTGAACCACTCAAATAGTATCTCAGAGGAGCTTTGTTGAACATTTCTCATTTGCCCTACAACCACAAATAATGTTTTGTTCTTCCCTGACCACTTCTTGCAGGATGAAGTCATTGCTGTTTCTGAAAAGGTAATCGTGAAGCTTGAAGACCTGGTCAAGTGGGTACACTCTGATTTCTCCAAGTGGAGATGTGGCCTCCAGGCTGGGGCCGTGAAGACCACGGCCTTGGGGAGGAATGGACAGAAGGAAGCTTTGCTGAAGTATAGGCAGTCAACACTCAACAGTGGACTCAACTTCAAAGACGTTCTCAAGGAAAAGGCTGACCTTGGTAAATATAATTTATACTTCCAAATCTCATGTGTGGGTGTAGACAGTAGTAACCTACTTTTTTTTTTTTTCTCCTGGTTGTAGGCCTTTCTGGAAACCCTGTCATATATATAATTTTATATAGACATAAAATTTCTTTGACCTCAGAGGGTCTTGGGAATATGTATGGACGGATTGTTGGGGTATGTAAGGGATGGATGCTGGCTGCCGGATTGCAGGGCCTTCTCCTGGTGGGGCCCTGAGCCAGCAACCAGGTGATACAACACGTGGCCTTAGGCAGCTTCCATTTGGTGTCAAGGCAGAAGACTTAATTAGGGCACCTGAGATTGAATTAATGAAGAGTTTAAATATTTGTTCTGAGGAGATAGTATGACATCTGTTAACACCATGTCAGGATTTCATGTGTTTTGTTTACCAAGGCTGGGTGGAAAGCAGAGCGAGGAAGAGAGATGAGTTACTTAGTGTGGAGCAATGTCAAATTGTTTCGCCTTCTAGTCTCAGTCTCCCCATCTGGAAAAGATGGGGATTTTACTGTGTCACTGAAATTTAAGATATAAAGGGTTTAGTTTACCACAGTGATGACTGGCGTATACAAGGGGCTTCCTGATGAATTCTTTTGCTTTTTCTTAACACGTTCTTCTCCAGAGGCTTTCTGTGGCCATTTCTTTTATCCTCTCCCTTCTATTTGTATCTCCCTGTGGTGCTCACTGACTTACTCTCCTAGCGTTGCTTAACACCAAAGTTGTTGACCTCTGAGTTAGACTAGTTATTTCCTCTTTAGGCAAAGAGGAACTTCACTTTTAACATATTAAGGCATCTTTTTCTTTCATTCTAACACAATGCTGATTTTCATAGCCCTATTTCATGCCTTAATGTGACAACTTCCTGTTTTCTTTAGCCTAGGATTTAACTATTACAACAAACCCAGACTCTTTACTTAATTGGCATAAAGAGACTGCATAACAGCAGTAACTGTCTTTCCTGTGATTCTGATTTGTGATGAGCTGTACTGTGCATTGGGAATCATATTAATATTTTCTTGCAATTTGAGTCAACGACTAACAGTTTCCTGTCATCTTTTGGTAAATGTCGGGCGGTAATATTTTGGACATGGCAGCCTGACTTTTGAAGAAAATTATTAATCTGGTGTTTTATTTTAAAGCCCCCAAATTGTTTTTTTTTTTTTTTTTTACTAAATTTCCTATATATGCTGTTATACTCCCCAATTTCATGAACACACAATGACTAGTCTCTTGATGTGTGATAATGCTGGATAATACATGTGTTGTATTACTTTTCTAATGTTTGCTCTAAGTTGTATTGCTATTGTCTTATGTTTTCCCTAACATTTAAACGTTTCTTTTGTTTGTTTGATTTTTTTTTTTTTTTTTTTTTTTTTTAGTTATGGAATATACTGTTACTAATAAAAAACTAAACAGGAAACCCACGGGGGACAAAAGGATGTGTAGATGGTTAAGCTTGATGTCACACATATAAACAAGAGTATTTATAGCAGACTTGTTTTCTGTTTAAAATTGATAGTTTATTAATGAATCTGAAAAGAAACTCAATCTCTTAATTCTGGCAAAAGATTTAGAGGGTTTGATCTTACTGAATTCTAAAAAAAAAGTCCATGATGTACTTTTTAATAATTAATTTCAGAAGAAATTGATTTATAGTGAATATTCAAAGTACTTAGTGGTTTTTAAACCTAGTGTTTGATAGACTCACTAGGGGAATTTTAAAAATAATACTGATTGCTAAGTCCAGCTTCCCCAGATTGTTCATCCAGTAGGATTAAAGCAAGGCCAAGGAATGTGGCCTGATAAAAAGACTTCCTAGGTGATTCTGAATTTTTTTTCAGTCTCATTTGGGAAACAGCAATACAATTAGTGCTGAGAAAGGGAAAATAATCAACAGGAGATTTGATGGGGAGGCTCTCCTCTGGTGAACAAGAAACACCATGTTACTTTTTCCTTCTTTTTTTTTAATGTAAAATACCCCTTTAAGGATAGAATTTGGGGCCTTGAAATTCTACTCAGTTGGTATGAACTGTGGGGAATTTGAGACAAATAGCTTTTGTAATTGGAATGCACACTGTGTTGTAATAATGTGGAAAGAGAAACAAAAACTTTCCTTAATGTAATGAGTTTCCATTATCTGCTTGATCTAAGGTTCACAAGTCTACATTGTTAGGATGTATATATTGGGGAGACAGGGGGTGTCACTTGCTGTACACATTCCTGTCCTAGCAACTTTCTCTTCAACCTCTTCCTTTTTGTCTGCAACATCAAAATATTTGTTGTCTGCACTTTTCTTTCTACACAGTGGTTTTCTTATCTCTCTCTCTCCGGGCCACACTGAAACCACTTCCAATACCACATTGTTAATGGAAGTTCACACACTTATTAGGTTTTTCCTTCTGTAGAACACTTCCAACTCCTCATTGTTCTTACCAAAGAAAGAAGATGAACTCTGAGATTATTTAAGACCCCCCTCTTTTTTTTTCTGGTGGAAGTAAGCAAAGAATGGAAAGATCTCACCTTTCTTGTGGCTAAAATAAAACTCCGATACGTTATGTTTTTAACCGAAGGATTTCATCACGTTAAAACATCAATAGCGACAAAATAATTAAGTTGACTCTTAGAGAAGGGATTTTACCATCTAAAAGCTAATTAAAGAACTCTTCTTGCTCAATGTTTAGGTGGAATAAGTTCCCTTTAATCCCAGTTTGTGTCACTTCCTGTCTCTCTCTGAAGAGTAAAAAAACAAGAATGTTCTCACAAATGTGTGTCTGCCAGCAAATTAATACTCCACAAAGAGAAACTCTGCCCCAAATGGCAGCTTCCAATAACTGCTCTGATTCGAAGCACAGCTCTTTTTTTTTTTTTTTTATTCTCTTCCCCTTCAAGGACAATATTTGTGGATATCATGTTTGCTTTTTACAAATCTCTGCAGTTTTCGTTTAAGATTCAAAATGACTGGTGACTAAAATGACACATCTAGATAGTGGGAAAACCAATAATCTTCAAAAACACTCCTGAGATGTGTTAGCATGCCTTCGTCCCTTTCCCTCCTCTTTGTCCTTTTCAAAGAAAGAAAGTTCAGTATGAAACCAATTCAAATTGTGACTTTACTCAGTAAGATGTTTTACCTTCTCCACAGACAGTTTCATACTGAAGTTTATAGGAAAAGGATAAAAAGAGAGAGAAAGAGCTATGTTAAAATACAAGGGTTAAGGAATGTATAATTCATAAGCATAATGAACACAGGAACCTGTTTTTCCAGAAGAATCGGGTTGATTAAATCATTCACTACACAAGCTTCTAGTTATTTATTTTTGTCTTTAGAATTACAGTAGTTAGCTTTTGTAATAAAGTGGACTTGATACCCATATTTGGTATGGCAGTTGGACGTCGTCAAATGAAGAATTATTTCATTTTACAAAATTTTTAGCAACGAAGGAATATAAACACTATCAGTTAAACATAGGAAACTTGCATTTTTTTATTCCTTGGGCTATAGTTTGAAAAAAATCAAATTATTTTATATAACACTGCTTCTTACAGAGTTCCTTTAAGTGAAGTATGAAAGCTGCAGTGTAAGCTTTATTGGCCTATAAATATGTCATTATAGTTGGACTACATTTATATGCTTTGGATTGTTGTTTAAGCCAAGAAAATATGTCTCTACAGGTTGACTTTTTATTGAAACCCTTTGAGGCATACAACAGAATGTATTTTAGGCCAAGGTTATTAAAACAGCATTTTCATTTTTTTGCAGCAGACTCATTGTCAATTATGCTGCCACAAACTGTCTGTGGATGGGCAGTTATGAATGGTTTCATCTTCAAATGTGTCTCTAGAAAAAAGAAAGAAAAGATAGAGCGTCTGAGCTGAAACTGAGAAAAGAGACCAAAGGATGTGGGTGTGGGTACAGCTGAATTTAATGATGGGGGTTCCCTTGGTTCAATTTCTGTTTCTAAAGGCCCATCAAATTGAGAAAGTGTGGCTTCCCCTGTCCCTTCTGTTGCCCGGATTTTGTTATACTTTGGGGAATAGACAACATGGTGGTGTTGAAAGAACAGTAAGGAGAAGGTCAGGAGAATCTTGGCTCTTCCTGTTCTGGAGATCTGTCACTTCCTCGAAGAGTCACGGTATGCTTATACCTTTAGCTGTAATTGTGTAAAGTAGCTGTAATAGTATGTACCCTGCGCTATCTCACTGGGTTTTTGAGAAGATCGACTGAGGAATAATTAGTGTCAATGGAATCATTTGTGATACTGAAGTCCTAGTATTATGACTGTGTTATTATCAGAAGGAGGATTTATATGAGAGGGAGCTATGCAGTATGATATTAGTTTATTTGTTCATTTTGAGCTTCCCTAATCACACGGTCTAGTGTTGAGGGTATGGTATACCCTTATTATTATGTGCCTCAAAAGAAGGCCGATACTATTATTAAAATCCTTCTGATCTTTGCATACACACACACACACACACACACAACACTCACACTGTAAAATGATATTTTATATGTACCCTATTACATATTTATGTTTCCTTACATATAGATATGTATATTTTTATGTTGTATAACTTTTTTCCTCTCAAAAATTTTGTCAAAATAAGCTGGCTCATAAGTGGCCAGTAATGTCAATGACTTCTCAAGTATTTTTAGTTAGAAATTGACTATAGTCTTTGCTTGGAAATTCTGGAGGCCTTGTATTTCAAATGGTTATTTCGGATCACTTTGGAGTTTGATATGTCAAGCTGCTTCCTGGGGTGTGGATATGGGTAGGATTCTCACTCTGTGGACGAAAACTGCTTAAAGGGCTCCAATAGGAAGTATGCTAAGGTGCTGATAGTTTATCAGGGAGGGTTTTTCACTTGGTACATCAAGTGAACTTACTAGGATTGAAGACATGCTTCTTATTAGGACAGTCCTTTCCTTTCTTCCTTCTTTCTTCCTTCCCAGATATAAACTTTCTATGTATATGAA